CCATATCACAACCCTAGGTTTGAAATAAACCTAATTATGATGAAAACCCTACCTCTTAAAGCGTAAAACAATGATAGAAAGCTCCAAGAACCCGAAATCACGGCTTAAGTCCTTGATTTCTCCAAGCCCGTTTTTTGGAACTTCACCCAAATCCGTGCATTTTGGTATGGTTGCATAGCCTTCGACAAGTAGATTGACTTTTGCTTGTGGCTCGTGTTGATTCAAGCAATGGAAAGGCATAGATCATAGAGAGAAGTTTGGAATTATATCTTTTCCCTCTCTTCCTTCTCCAATGTGAAGACTAGCTAAAAAATTTTCTCCCCTATTTATACCCCTTGGAATGCTTGGTCCACATCGCGCCATACATTCTGCATTCCTGGGTCCGGTTCATCCCGAACCGATTAAATTTCATTTTGGTTCAACTTCAAAATATTTTTATGCTTTTCTCATGTTTTCTCTAGATCATTTAGGACTTCAAGGGTTGTAATGAGGCATTGGGGTGATATTTAGTTAAGTGAAACGAATGATAGAGGATAGCAAAGAGGGTTGTTCCGAGTGAATGAACTTCATTTCAAAAAGATCTCATTTTTTATGGGATTTTCAGTCTAACACCATCACTTCACTCTTTGTTTCTTTTTCTTTTTTTTCCTTAACATTTTCCTTTTTCTTTTCTCATTCTTTTCTTTGTTCACCCCTTTTTTTCTCCTTTTTCTTGGATTTCTCATTCTTGGCCATTCAAAATTTGAATTTGGCATCGTGCATCCCTTTTTGTTGGGTTTTCGTACAACTAATCCTCCTTATGCTCTCTCATGGTCGGTCTCGGCACAACCAAAGTGTGGTAAATTTTTATCATTTTGCACTGGCTTGGTCAATTGTGTGGCATGGAAACGAATTTTCAACAAGACTAAATCATGGTACTAAGGATAATATTTTCACAAGAAAAAGGCTAAGGCTCAAATAAATCAAAGATGACCTAAGATCATTTCTAGATAAGAATGGGAGAGCATATTGCATATCAAAACAAAGTCAATCAACCACCCAAATGCACTCTAACCAAAACAAGCACAATGAGATCATTGAACAAATTTGGAATTTGACAAATTATTTTTTGAGTAAATGTAAGTTCCCACCAACAAGAATTGGCACTAAATCTCTCATGGGTCCTTACTCATCTCCACTATTCATATCAAGCACTAAAATGTGAATTCAATCCGTAAATTTCTAAAATTACATGTTCATGGTGTACTTATGGTTGAGTTCAAAAGCAAACAAGTATGATATACTCATAACATAGGATAAACTTCTATGATGTGCTCATGTATTCACAATTCTAAGCAAAGATCATCATATTAGTAAACCCACAACACCCTAAATAGGAGAATATATGTCAATATTCAGATATTTTTTCACAAAAATTTTCAAATTTTTCACATATTTCTCAACTATTGTAAACCAAAATCAGTAGAAATATGAATGGTGAATTTCACCACAAAATGGTATTACCAACAACAATTTTTCACAAAAAATTGGTATATCATACAAATGGTGCACCTCCCCCCCCCCCCCCCCCCGGCCAACTTGATTCATGCATTGTCCTCAATGCAAAAAAAAAAAAAAAAGATATGCTATACAATGATGGACTTAAAAAGATAAGTAGGATTAGAGAACACCTCGCATGGAGCTTTGACAATAAACACCATAATCTACACATTAAAAGAAAGAAAACTACACAAAGATGAAAGTAGGTAAGCAAAATAACTTGGAAAGTAAATGATAAAAGAAAGTGATTGTACACTACAATCCACATGAACAATTATTCCTCCAAAAGGTCTGGGTAAACCAGATCTAACAATTCTTCCTCTACCTTTTGACCCTCAAAGAATGGCTTAAGTCTTTGGCCATTGATCTTAAAATTTTTGCCATCCTCGAGGTTTGTGATTTTCACGGATCCATTGGGGTAGGCCACCTTGAGAAGATAGGGGTCATCCCAAGGGAATCGGAGTTTTCCTTGAAAGATGGATAGTCAAGAATTATACAAGAGCACTTTCTGTCTGGGCTCAAATGTTTTCCTTAAAATGGATTTATCATGAAAAATCATAGCCCATTCTTTGGAAATTCTTGAGCTCTCCCATGCATCTCTACAGATCTCCTCCAACTCATTCAACTCTAACTTCCTATTCTCTTCGACTATTCTCAAGTTGAAGTTCATAGTCTTGATGACCCAAATACACTTTGTGCCTATTTATAGTAGAAAATGACAAGCCTTGCCATAGACTAGCCTATAGGGTGACATACCTAGAATGGTCTTGTACGCAATGCGGTAAGCCTATAGGGCATCAGTCAACCTAGGTGATCAATACTTGCTATTAGGGTTCACCGTTTTCTGTAGGATGTTCTTGATCTCCTTATTGGCTAACTCGACTTGGCCACTGGTCTGTAGGTGATAAGCGATAGACACTTTGTGTGTGACGCCATACTTATGCATTAAGGATGCAAATGGCCTATTGCAGAAATGAGAACCACCATCACTTATCATTGCACGAGGCATCCCAAACTTTGAAAATATATTTTCTTTTAGGAATTTAACCACGACTCGGTGATCATTAATCTTGGTTGGGATAGCCTCTATCCACTTGGACACATAGTCCAATGCCAATAAAATATAGAGCTAGTCAAAAGACATAGGGAATGGATCCATGATGTCAATGCCCCAACAATCGAATACCTCAATTACTAACACAGGGGACAAGGGCATCATATTCCTATGGGTCACACTACCCAGTCTTTGGCACCTATCGCATTCCTTGAAAAATGAAACACAATCCTTAATTAAGGAAGGCCAATAAAAACTAGATTGCAAAACCTTAGCCGAAGTCTTTTTAGAAGAGAAGTGTTCACCGCACACTTCAGAATGGCAGAATGCAAGGACGTCATGTTGTTCATTTTTAGGAACCGACCTCCTCATGACTTGGTCAGGGCAGTATTTGAACAAGTACGAGTTACAGGAGTAAAAGTACTTCACATTCGCCATAAATCTCCGTCTATCCTCTAGGCTCTATTGCGGTGGGATTTGTCCTGTAACAAGATAATTGCAAATGTCAGCATACCAAGGACAAACAAAATTAATGAAAAATAAATGCTCTTCAGGAAAAGAATCAGGGATAGGAATATGTTCTTCAGCATCTTGAACCACAAGTCGCGATAGATGGTCTGCCACCATGTTCTCAACTCCTTTCATGTTTTTGATGATCAAATTGAATTCTTGAAGGATGAGGATCCACCTAATGAGTCTTGGCTTTGCATCTTGCTTAGAACCATCCAAGGATAGCGCAGTTCTTGGACAGAATATCCAAGGTCATCATTAATTGGTTTCAGGTGCAATCCGGTCATCCAAACAAGCTTCCCAATACACCCCAAAAAAAGGTAAAATGAGCGTGACCACCCAACAAAGTTACGACCATCCAAAAACTGTGTCATAATCTTTTGAGAGACTAGTATCGCTGGTAATGCAAATATGACAGTAGATGCTGTATACTAGTCAAACATAAAAGTGGAAGGGGTAATCTCTACAGAAGTGACCGGTACCTTCTCAGTGAAAGTACCAATGGTGGAGCTCTCAAGTCCCTCACCAGTGCCATAACAACAATAGTAATTCGACAACTATGACATAAATTACTCTAAAATAAATAGAGTTACACAAGGGAAAACAATATACCTCTAGTCGAACAATAGCAATAAAGAAGAGGTTTCAACACTCAAATAGCATATCACAACACTAAGAAATCTATAAAAAATATATAGACGATCTATTACAGGAATAGTAGATCAATAGAGGGGATTCAACCCCTCAAAATCCCTAGGGTGCTCCTACCCTAGGGAGAAGAGAAACCAGCGGCGTAGAGGTGGTGGCACTGTCGAAAAATGGTGGTAGCCCTAGTGGGGAAGGCTAGGGTTAGAGTTGGGGAAAGTTAGGATTTGGGTGGCTTTGATACCAACTAGAATTGTTGGGAGTAAAAAGAATGTACTAACTAAGTGCAGAATCCTGTATATATAACCAAATAAGAGTACAATTGACTAGAACACTCCTTTTATCTAGAGAAGACAAAAAAACCATAATAAGGATAAAATAAATAAAAAAAACTAAACATCCTAATAACTAGGCTATAACTCCAATGGTAGTAAACAAGTTATATTTTGAATCAAATGAATTAACATAAATCAGTTAAACGAATTGTATTCAAATTGACCATTGTGAGACACAAATAAAATTGCAAGATCCGATAGAACTTGATTATCACCGAACGCGTCTATTAACAAAAATGAAGTAAAGATAGATTTAAAAGTTAGAACTTTATTTGGTAATGTATTTTTTAATTAACTTTTTAAGCAATAAAGTGATCGCAAAAGAAGTAAAATACATTTAATTAGTATTTTACAGAAGAAATATAGATGCATGTAGGACATTAAAAATACACTTCATATATATGTATGATACTAGATCTACACATAGAAAAAGCCAAAAAAAAAACATAAATGCAAAAATTAACGCTACTTAAAAATAACAAAAATATGTTCAAAAATAATTATCAAACGGTATCTTAACTTTTAACAATCATACGATCAGTTAACCAAGATGGGGGTATAATCTAGACCCCATCAATAAATTGAGTTTTCATTGAAATTCAATTAACGAGATATGTATTGATTTTCTGACTAATTTTTCAAATTTAATTTTAAATTCAAATCTGTTGCATAATATTTATATTATACTCCTATTCATATTATATGTATATATGGGCACAAAATATGTCAACAGTTATTTAAGATTTTTTATAGATTTAAATATGAATTATGAAAATAAAATCCAACAAATTATGTAATTTGATTAAAATTAGAGTATCAACTTGAATATGAATTCGGATGAACTGAATTCCAATTCAAATTCGTGACAAGCCTACTGACTACTGACCAGAGAGACAAGTTCGAAAAAATAGATTCCATGGAAACATGATGCAAGAATTGAAGGCAAATAAAGATCCAATGTAGTTAAGCTTCGCGTTCCTGCAACAACAAACACGCAATAACTGCGACGGAACATAGAGATAAAAGAAAATTTTTAACCCAATGGAGAGTCTTTCACCATCCCAACAGTAAGAAAATGAAGAAACCTAGAAGATAATGACGATGATCATCCTCTCGAAAAAGATTTAAAATCCATCCCACAACACATCTGTAGTTCTGTACAGCAGCTACCTTCTCTCTCTTGAACGACCACAGCTACTTTCATCATTTGGTAGCTATATCTTAGATCAGCAGAGAGCATTGAAAGAAGAGTAAAACCCTCAAGAATTCCAATGGTCTATCCTCAATCCAATAGCTCCAAGAAGCACGAATCTTCCAAAAACAAACTTTGAAATGTACAAAGATGCATAGAAGGGTTATGAAAAGCTTTATAATCTAAAGGGTGAGAAGGCAACTAGTCACCCTGGTCAAGTGTGTGTAGGTCCTATGCATGATTTGTCTCAGATGCATTGTTCTCTGACTGCCCTACTTTTCCTTCCATGTGAGCTGAACCACAGGCCGCTTTTATGGATTCAATATCCACGCTGGCTAAACGACTCCTCCTGTTCTTACGATCCTGCAGAAGGCCAGTACAAGTCAAATATATGATCTTATCAATGCATCCAATAGCCAAGTAAGAATTGTATCAAATTCAGAAGTGACAACTATACGTCGTCATATCCAATTCAAAATCCATCAAATTTTAAGAAAGTCACCAAAGTGATCATAATTAAAAAATCCAATTCAAGATTTTCTGACTCTGGTTCTAAAATTAAACATGGGTGTAAAGCTTGCACCCTCAAGAATACAAATCGAGCACCACTTCTAGACACAAGTCCGGTTCCTTGCATCAAATTTTGTGCATGGAACATGCATTAAACCTCACATCCAATTTTGTGCATGCAAAGAAGTTGTGAAGTTATCTTCGACATCTTTAATAAAAAAAAACCCAAATCAAAACGTAATACCATCATGTTGACAATGTACCACTCATTAAGATTTTACCTATCAAGAGAAAGGGAAAAAAAAAAAAAAAAGCAGGGCTCCTCAAAAATATTTGCACATGCGTTACCTAATACAGGTGCTGCATTTCATATATGCATTGGATAATGAATAAACACAACTCTCCCAAACAGAAACTTGGAGCCATGTGCAATTATATTTGCATCCATATGCTTTAATATCCATTGATATACAATTTATCTTGATAGTCAAGGCAACTAATCCTAAATAAAGCATGTACAGCATAACCTGGATTCTTGTTGAGCATTGCAACACCATAAATGGCAAAGCAAAGAAGCTGAAAATATTATAGAAGGACATAATGAAAAAGGCATGCTACACTAACTATAGTGCACCCTTCAAAATTCAAATTAAATTAATGTACAGGTCGTTGAGGGTCAGGACATAGTTAACCATGTGGACAAATCGTTGTTAGGAAATATTGCCCTATATCAGTGTACAGGAATAATTCATAGACATGTGTGTAAAAAATGACACAGAATTCATTACGCCTTTTTCCTTTTTACAGCATACACTTCCTTCTTTTGGTATGAACATGATCTAGTATTAATTATGCCTTTCCAAATGTAATATACTAAAGCAAGCACATAATTTCTCATAATGCAGCAGAAATTGATCATTACCTCACAAAAAGGGAATTCTTCAGCTTCAAGCATTTGAACAACCTGACTCATTTTGGGCCGTTTCCCTGAGTCAGGATCAACACATCTAAGTGCAACCAGAAGGGCACGTTTTAGAGCACGTGTTGTGGGTTTCACTTCAAGGTTTGGATCCACAACTTCGTCAGCTCTTCTATTCCCTACCATCATCTTCAGCCACTCAACAAGATTAGCCTGCATTGAGCATGTGAAGTTCTTATATGATTATTGTTAAAAGCAATAGCTAACACCAGTGGATTAAAGCAATACTTAAAGATTTGGTACCTCATTTGCAGGGCGACCATAGTCTACTGGATCCCTCCCAGTTACTGCTTCCAACAGAAGGACACCAAAACTATAGATGTCACTCTTTTCATTTAATAAGCCAGTATTAGCATATTCCGGAGCCACATAACTGAAATTCACATAACATCAGTGTTTTGATTACTCAACAACTCTGGTGGAACTCCCATCAAAGAATCCTCAATTCAATATAATTGTGATATAAGTGGATTAAAGAAAAGTAAATAGATAACTGTGATGTATGAGGATTAAAAAAGCAATGCACACATACCCAAATGTTCCCATTACTCTGGTAGTGATGTGACTTTCATCCGAACCCAGGAGCTTGGCCAATCCAAAATCTGAAACCTTTGCACTGAACTCATCATCAATTAATATATTGCTAGATTTTATATCTCGGTGAACAACTTTTGGTTCTATAGCTTCATGCAAGTAGGAAAGCCTGCACATAACAAATTTCCAACTTGTTCATAAATCTAAAGGACAAATTTTGAAATTCTGTTTTGTCATCATAACATTTTTTTTTTTTTGGCCAAAAAAAGAGTGAACATCACAAATGCACGTGTCATGGGGCATAGAAGTCCAACCCACACATAATCTCAAACAGAACTAAATCTTTGAGAAGGTCCCAAAACAGTATAAAAAACCTTCCAGCATTGAATTTCATATCGATAAGGACAAAATTTGCCATCATGAAGTCACGTTCAATCTAAAAGAGTACCCGAACAGACTACGGTTATTGTCCATAATTACATTACTTACGTATTTCTGCTCAAATGAATGATCCCTGGTACAGGAGATGAAAAATCACGTCTTCAACAATATTTGCTGAAAGGTTTACTTACGCTTTTGCAGTACAAAGAAGAATCTTCATACGGGCTTCCCAAGTAAGGTTACCGTGTTGCCGCATGTTCCCATGAAGCCATTGTTCCAAGTTGCCATTATTTACATATTCGTACACCAGCATCCTACACGATTGAAACAAAGTACAATCAATAGCCACCTACGATCATAGCTCAAGCTTAAGGAAATTATTTTTGATTGAATGCATGGACTTGCTCGTGATACACTTATTTATTCTTATAGAATGAAAATTGAAAATTCTGAATTTATTTTTTTGGATACAACATTGCCGTACATTATAATAGTAACATAAAACATGGTTAAAATGAATGGGAAGAAAAAAAAAAATTATACCAACAAAGAAGAAAGAAGCTTGCCTGTTAACCCCTTCTATGCAATATCCTAGAAGCCGCACAAGGTTCTTATGTCGAATATGCCCAATAGTCTCCACTTCAACCCTAAATTCTTTCTCTGCCTGCCCCCTATAAAGGAATTCACAGTCATAGACAAGTCTCAGTCAACGTATCAGAAGAGGTAAAAGATAGTTTTGGAAAAGATTCTAAGCCTTAGTGTATACGCACAAATTATTAAGAAGCTTCTTCACTGCTACCTCAGTCCCATTGACCAGTTTTCCTTGATAAACAACTCCATATCCACCCTCCCCTAGTACATTTTCTGCCGAGAAACGATTTGTTGCAAGTTCCAGATCTCTAAGAGTAAACCAATGACCCCACCCGAGATGCGACATTTCTGGTAAACCAATTAAAGGAGAGGGCATTGCAAGTCCATATGACAGCGAAGACTGATTCCAGACGGTCCCAGAACTGCCTTCTTCCCCTGACTGTGAACTGCAGCCCTTCTCATGATGATACATGGAGCTGCATTGGCTAATATTATCAACATCACTCGACTTGCTCTTACCCAAATGAACTGACATTTTCTCTGAGATCTTATCATTCGACTCATCATTAACCGTCAAGTGTAGAGTTTTCAGATGATAATGAATATTTTGACCCCCAACTCTGTCAACTTTGATCTCTCTGGAGACATTGGGTATTGGAGAAAGGGAGAACTTGTCTAGGGTTCTTCTAGATTTTCTACGACATGTAACCCAAATAGATATGATACAGAGAACCAGAGCTATAAATGCACCCACACACACACCAATCACCACCCATAATTTTAGACCCAAAAATGATGTCTTCCTTGATAATTTGGCATTCAAACTCCCTGACGACATGTCCGGTCAGCCTATATCAGGAGCAAAAATGGGCTTTGTCCTCTCAGTTTAACATACAAAGTTAATCCATTGCCTCCTGGATCCCATATGGTGCGTTAGCTAATCATACAATCAGCCAAATGGCAAACAGATATATGAATTTTTCAGAGTTTCCAATTATGATATGAGGTTTTCAAAGTACAGTCGTATAAATTTAATTCAAAAAACAAGACATCAATAAACATCTAGTAAAGGAGCTGATGCGACATTTGACGATATGGAAAAAAACCTAACCCGTGACTCATTATCCTAGCAATTGAAACATACAGAAGAATGTAAAACGGTATACAGTAATTCGAAGGAGAAAACGTTTACCATTGTAGTGATCTGAACCAAAAACCTTTAATCTTCCTGCTTGAGAACGCGGGGAATTAAGGAAGGAGCCTCTTTTTGCATCAATAGAGACGCGAATAAGCCAAGACAGGCCAATGCAGACTCGAAATAAAAAACCCACAACAGCGAAAAACCCCAAGAGAAAGTTAACAGTTGAAGATGAGTAGTTTAGAAGCAGAAGGTGTGGCCTGAAGTGTGATGTAAAGAATTGGAACGAATAATATAAATTGCTTAAAGAGGGCCAGACAAAAATCTAATCTTTGAAACGGCCAATGCAGAGAGAGAGAGAGAGAGAGAGAGCGGTTTTTTTTAACCAGTGGTGAGGAATTGAGAAAAGCAGAGGTGGGCAAGGTGGTTGGTGGGGCTTTGTGAATGCGGAGAGAAGGGCATCAGCAAGCTGGAAAGATAGCTTGGTTTGCAATGGAGGAAACCAGAGAGGGAGAGAGAGACCATTGAAGGAAAAGCAAAAAATGAGGTGAACAGACATTGCATTTATATAGCGGCTGAGAATAATTAATGATAAAGTGAAAACCCATGCAAAAGAGAGTAAACCCAAATGAAAATGAGAGAGTCAACATAGGAGGGCCTCTCCCCCATTTTTCTTGATCAAATATAAAAAAAAAAAAAACATAACAGGTGGGAACTCCAAATCTGGTTTGCTGTTATTTGAAATGCCCAGATTCAACTTTGGCCTTGCTGTATGCAAGATTACAAATTTCACATACTCTTTAGTAGAAAATAAGATTACATTCAAGAAATAGTTGTTTATAATTAATGATAGCTTTGAAGGGACTCACTGTGAAGGCAAACACCAATCTTGAGCTGAAACCACGGGTAGCCCACTTTATGGCTAGCAATTCATGTGCAGAATAAGTCCTAATGTTTTCCTCTTTCATTTGTACAATTATACTTTCTCTTTCAATTTAATTTATTTTGACAAGCCTCTTTTTGATAAAAAGATTTACTAATTTTGATAACCTATGAGTATTTGAAACTACAAATAAACATATGCGTAACTTTGAAGGGATTAACAAATAATCGGATAAGTAACTCTGTAGTACTTTATAATGTTATCAGCGATAACCCATGCCTGAAGATATTATATAATTAAAAAAAATTAGCATTGATCGTAGACACAAAAAAAATCAAAGACTAAATATGAACACGTACTAAGCTGGAAGCCTAAACTACATACTTAACATGTCTGCACATTACATACGTGTTCAACAAAATATTATCTATATGAAAATTCTCATGAAGACAAATTTCAATAAAGATATGGAGAAAACTCAACTTTAATAATCAAAATCCCATAAATTTAAACTAAAAACGCATAAAAGTCATATGCTTGAAACTATATACCTAATCAGAATTAGTAGTAGTACCCATAAATATTTACTTAAAAGTCAACTTACAAGAATATTTCAAACCTGTGTCATTTGAAAAAATGTATGTGCCTAAAGTTACTATATTATGTAACAAAAAAACATCAATATTTAATCAAACTAATTTTTATATGTTCTTTTAAAAAATTTGGACATAATTCCCCCAAAAAACATGACCCAAAGAATATCACCCTGTATATGGGTTTGATTCTTCGCTCGATTCCAACGAAGTCATGGTCTCAAGTTCGTCCTAAGTAATACCCCATCCCATGAGTATGGCTCCAATCATAAAGAATCTATAAAACGCTAATTATACAATCCACCATTTATAAAGTGCTAATTATTAAACAAATAAACTATTGACCCCATATGACATGATTTATGAGTGGATCGTTAAACCATAGTAAGCAAAACCAACTGTGAAATCTACAATTGACTTTCAAAATTTCACATTGCATGTATTTGTTCACTCCTTAGGTGTTCTACAACAAACATACCCACTTATTATTAACACATGATTTCAAGAAATCACGACCCAAACTATTGATCGAACTCAATATCACCCCAATGCTACCATAACATAACCATTTATCAACCAGCTCACCAATATAATATCAACAATAGAAGAATGTTCACCTTTAACCATACGAATCTGCATATAAAAAATTCTAACCCATAATTTCAAATGCATGCATTTAATTAACATTCATATCAACTCTCTACAAAAATTGCTACGACAAAAGTCCAAAAATTAAAGCAAAACTAAAACATATCAATATGATTGGTTCAATTGATTTCAGATGTTGGTAAAAATCATCAAACATTTTAAAAAAAAAAGTAATAGTACAATATAGCTTTTAGAATTCCAAATAAACTATTATGGCAATTGAATTTTCATATTTCACTGAAAACAACACATTTACATATTCTAAAATATTATAATTCATAAGTATTCCACATTTACAATGACACTTCAAAAAAAAAATATTGTCAATCACTTCACAATCTCTCTCCCCATGCCATATAGGCCTTTGACCCCTATAATTTGTATCAGCTAAACAGTTAATATCAATAATACCAATTTATTGAATAAAAAATATAGAAGACTTGGCACTGCAATAGTTTTTCCAACCATAGAAATTAAGATAATTAGAGCAGTGAAATGTTGGTATCAAACGACAAATATGTACAGTACGAAATACAAACTACTTTAGAAAAATATCAACAAAATAGCCCAATATATTTTACAATCAACATGGTATCTAACACTAAAAATTCAAGTACTGGCTACTGAGAATTGGTTCACAAAAATCAAGATTCAACATTACAAAAAGATTTAATATCAACAAAATAACCCAATTATTTCACAGTCAACATGGTAACTAACACTAAAAAATCAAGTACTGACAACTGAGAATTGTTTCACAAAAATCAAGACTCAACATTAAAAAAGGATTAATGAAATCCTAAGTTTACCATCAAAATTAAGCAACCCTAAATAAAGTGGTTAACATTCTGAGAAAGTCTTCATCAAATTGTCTTAAGTACCTAAGAAATACGTGTTAAAGAAGTTAACATAGCTTGTTTGCTTACTTTAGTATTTTAAGCATATTCTCCATCGCTTCTTGCACCACCTTCACTAATCAATTTTCCTTTCTATGCTACCAAATAAATTGAAGGAAACACTATGAAGCTGTAATTTCTGGTTTCAAGAAGATACACAAAGGTATCAAATGGAAGCTATGAGAGAGTTTGAGTGTGAGAGAGGTAAGAAAAGAGAAATAAGGGGAGAGAAAAAGGGAGATCAACTTGACTCATCGTGTTGGAGTCGCCAAAACAAACAAGAGTTGAAGTCAGAGAAATGGGAGAGGGTGATAACAGAGATGCAATATGACCGAAATAGGTGGTATAAGAAAATTTAGGGAGTAATCTTTCACCATCGAATCAATCACAACTATTGTCATGGTCCTATACAAAATGCAGTTCAATAAATAATCTACCAAAATTACATCAAATAATCAACAAATAATTTTAATAATTATTTTTCAACAACAATTTCAACAAATCTATATCAAATAATTAGCCAAATTCAACAATCAATCATTTCTATCTCAATTTTATTCACGAATTAAACTACTTCAAGAACACAAATGATGAAAAAAAATAACAATGAATCACATAATATTAGCTATGAAAAAGTATGAAGAGAAGGGGTGGGGTGGAGGACCTGAATCATTCACATACATCTCAAAATCTTTGCAAAGAAAGAGCTAGAGAAAAGATATAGAAATTCAAGAGAAAGAGTAAACTTGGAAGAGCTAGAGAAAATATAATCTTTAGCTTTCTTGAAAGGAATTGTAGTATTCTTCTTGAAATGATACAGACAAGTATAATCGGTAGCCTCTAATGAACATGTGCAATCAACTTTTATCCAGCAACACATGTAGGTCACTCACAAAATTTATCCATACTCTATTTCATTATTTACTAACAATCTGGTCCAATAACCACAAACTCATCTATCTAATTCACCAAACCATAGTTTATTTTCTAATTCCAAATAAACTAACATAGGCAAAATTTCATCGAACCAATCAAGTAAAAAAACTAATAGAAGTTTAGTGACTTTCTTGATCTGCCTCACAAATAGGTAATCAAGCATATTTCTGATTTGACCAAAAAAAAAATTCACTATCCCTCCTTTCATCTACTATGACCTTCAATTTCACCGGCTTCGTTGAAGCATTCCGTAAGTTAGATCTGTTAATCTCTAAAAACCAAATCATACAAAACTCATATTATGTAACATGCAACCAAAAAATTTGCTAGAGATTGAACGCATAAAAAACACAGCTAATAAGCTTGAAGCATGAATTATTTGCTAAAGATCCAACCTTATAAAAAGCCAGCTTGAAGCATCAATTATTTGATAGTTGCACCAAGGTTCTGCAATTAACTAACATACCATAGAATCATAAGACCCTATAGTTCTTGAAAGGATTAGCTAATATAGAAAAATTTCATCGTAAAAATTTACCTCATTGTAGGAAGAACATCAATGCTCTTCTTGAAAGGATGTTGATTCATCCCAACTACATTGTCCACGCTGCAAGTAGTCCCTAATTCACAAAAATCAGACAGGATAGGAAAAAAATGATTAGTGCAATCTTTACAAAATGAAATACAGTATTTTATCATAAAAGGCCAATAAAAACCTGACTGTAGGATTTTTGTCAAAGTTTTCTTAGCAGAGAAATGGCCACCGTATGCCTCTAAATAGTAGAATGCAAGGACATCCTGTTGTTCATTTTTCAGCATGCATCTCCACATGACTTGGTCAGGGCAGTACTTGAACAGGTATGAGTTGTCCAAGTTGAAGCACTTCATATTTGCCATAAATCTTCTTTGATCCTCAAGGCTCCATTGTAGTGGTATTTGTCTTATTGCAAGATAGTTACATATGTTAGCATATCATAGACAAATAGAATGAATTGAAAATAGTTGCTCATTAGGGAAAAAATCTGGAATATGAATGTGTTCGTCGGCCTCTTGCACCACCAGTCGAGATAAATGATCTGCCAACACATTCTTCACTCTCTTCTTGTCTTTGACTATCAGATTGAACTCTTGGAGTAAGAGGATCCACCTGATAACTCTTAATTTGGCATCTTGCTTAGACAACAAACACTTCAAAGTAGAGTGATCAGTATAGACTACAATCGACGAACCAATTATATAAGAACAAAATTTATCTAATGCAAATACTATTGCTAGCAATTCCATTTCTGTGGTTGTATAGTTCATTTGAGCTTCATTAAGGGTTTTGCTAGCATAGTATATTACATATAGTCTCTTATCCTCCATTTGACCGAGCATTGCGCCAACTGCATAATCACTCACGTCGCACATAAGCTCAAAAGGTAAATCCCACTTGGGTGGGCACATAATTGGAGGTGTGGTAAGCATGCTTTTGAGTTTTGTAAAAGATGTCTCATAATTATCCGACCACTCGAATGGGACATCCTTAGACAATAAATTAGTTAAAGGTCGGGCCGATGCACAAA